AACCTAGTAGCGATGGCCTCCAACCTAGTAGCGATGGCCTCCAACCTGGTAGCGATGGCCTCCACCCTAGTAGTGATGGCCTCCAACCTAGTAGCGATGGCCTCCAACCTAGTAGTGATGGCCTCCAACCTGGTAGCGATGGCCTCCAACCTGGTAGCCATGGCTTCCAACCTAATAGCGATGGCCTCCTAAGTCGACATCAGTTGAGGTTATCTTCCTCTTCCTCATCGCGACCTCCATGCCGCTCTTCGCAGAGATTTGGATGGAAAGGACGCACCGAAACCACTTAAATTCGTTCGCAAGAGTCTTCCCGAACGACCAGCAAGAAAGGGAACGAACCTGCGAAAGGGAACGACCTCGGCGGGCTTGCCCTTTGGGGGCAAATGCCCTTTGTTGTGTTTTCGGTCCTTGGTGGGGCAATGCCATTGAGTTAGCTTCGGAAGGCTGACTTTTGTGAGGAGCTTCAAGGAGGCAGTCTTCAGATTGGGCAAGCAGTGCGCGGAATTCTTGGGACGAAGATGAGGACAAGGACGACCTCAAAATGCACCTCAGTGGGTTTTCTTTTAGGTTGCTCAGGTCCAACAACCTAGTTGTTGCATGTTGCATCCTGTTGGGCCCAACACTGGGTCATATGTGGCGGCCACAGTTTGGCATAGTAGACTTGAGCATGGACATGGACTTTTGGAGGAAACCAGTAAGCACACTGTGAGTGTGTGTGTGTGTCTCTCTCTCTCTCTCTCGCTCTCTCTCTCTCTCTCAGCAAGCACCTTCACAATCCTTCCCATGTGTTTCACTTAGCTTGGACAAAGCTGTTTGCATTCATGTTTGATCCTTTTTGCAGCTGAATGTTTGACTTTCTTTCTGTTTCAACGGATGCTTCGCTCCAGGTACCTTACCTTGTCTTTCCTCATGTTTGTCTTCCAAGCCAAGATCATCGGATACTATGTCAAGCCCTTGGACTGATCAATTGCACTAGTCACTAATAGCAATGGCCTCCAACCTAGAAACGATGGCCTCCACTCTAATAGCAATGGCCTCCAACCTACTACAGATCTGTGTTTTAGCCGCTCCAACTCTAACCACCTGAGCAAAGGGTGCAAGTCGAGAGAGAGAGAGAGAGAGAGAACTCGAACCACGTGACCATCCAACCGAGCTATGTCAGCAGCCTGAACTGCACTCCATGCGCTCCAGGTGGTACGAAAGCCCTGGCCATGAAAAACAGCAAGACTCTTCAACCGCTTTAGGACTTCTTCATTTTTGGTTTGGTCGAGTGAGAACCGAAGAACCATATCTCCGAAGCTTGAATTCTTTTGAGGCCGCCCGTGGAAACACCAAACAGATCTTCTCAGACACCGAAACAACCGAGAAGACTCCCCATCGTTATTTATTTGGCCCACGACAAGTAAATTGTCATCCCTGCGGTTGTTTTAATATGCAACAAGTAGAACTTTCCAGCAAAAGCACACTTGGAGTTTAGCTTCGGTGTGTTCATTTCAATATCCAAAGCTCATACTCGTTGAATATACCACTATAATCATGATCCTTGCACTTTATACAGTGCAGTTTCCAAGCCCAATTCGATAAACCAAACAGTGGGTATGCTCAAACATTTTTGGGGCTGGATGATCATATTAGAAAACAACATGATGTTTGTGCTTGGTGATATGGACCATTTCATTTAGCTAAGATGAAAACCCGAGACCATCATTTTGCAAACAGAGTGGCCTTATGCTGGAGATTGTCAACAATTAAAAGGAACACCTCTAAAATATGCTCGTTAGCTTAGCTGTTTGCCAGTTTCAGCCATAGATCCAGCAGCAAGCATTTGTGTCTGTTTGTCTGTCTGTCTTTTTGTCCGTCCGTCCGTCCGTCCGTCCGTCTGTCCGTCCGTCCGTCTGTCTGTCTGCTCCGTCCCTTTGGAAAACAACCCAGAAAGCCAACCAACACCACCCCCCTAACAAGCCCAGCAGTCAAACCAACACCCCCCCCCAAACCCTGATCAACAAGGAAAGCCTCTACAAAATGCGTTTTTGCTTAAAACTCTTGGCAGTGCCAGCCCTGGGGCCAACAAAAAGCATTTTATAGAGGCACCCTGGGAAAGCAATCCAGAAAACCAAAACCATGTCCGCCCGCTGTCTGTGGCATGTTGAGGGGACTTGTACCGGTCATTTACAAAAAGACAATCATGTTGAAGAAAGCTTGCAGAAACATATGACTCTAAGATATCATCATTTTGTAAACAGATTGGCTTTAGGATATTTATGGTGACTGCATTTTGTTCGTGTACCATTCTATATACAGGTTCCTTCATTAAAGAATAAGACAATTTGCAGCCCAAGCAGGTCTTCATGGGGTATCAAAGCTCCAAATGTAGGTTCTAATAAGCAGATCTAAAGAACACTGAACAGTCCTGAACCTCATAGCTTAGGCCTGACCTCTCCCGACCTGATCTTCGCCCCTGACCCTCGCTCTCAGGTGGTGAACGAGCTCCGCTACGGCGGGGCGAAGTACGTGGCCACCGGGCGCGGGTTGCCCACCTACCGACGGCCCTTCATTGGTGAGACGGACCGGAGAGAGTGAGAGGGCTTGGGGCGTCCTGGGGGTTTGCGTTGCGGCAGACCTTCGGGAAGACGGAAGACGTAGGACAGGTATTTGCAACCATGGGGTTGGACATGACGTGATGTGACATATATGATAGTAATTCAATTGGGCGTGATCCGGTGACTCGCAGGGACAATAGTTAGGCAAGCTCCGTTTGACAAGTACACAAGCCATAGGATCAGTATGTGGAAGTTTGTGTTTGTGCCATGCAGCTTCAAGGGGTGAAATCATGGAATCCATACTTTTTGACTCTCCTCTCTAGAATTCTCTATTTATTGGTAGGTTTTTAAGAGCTCTTCTTCTCAATACATCTGTAGATGTCGCTTTGTTATACTTTTCTGTAGACATGTCCAGTCATTAGATACGCCTCTTGCTAGAAATCAGGATTTAATACTTCGAAGCTTTTCTTGAATAACCATAGTTTTAATGGAGAAACTGACCAGGTGCAGGCTCTTTGAGTCTTTCACCACTCACCTCGAGAGTCTCGCTTGCGAGACGGTCTCGCAGGAGAAAGGTACCAGCAAGTTGCAAAAGGCGCCAGAGACCGGCACCGGACCATGTTGGAACCCCCAAAGAGAAACACATACTGCATTCATATATTGATTATATGATTATATACATCTTATTTATTTATAGACACACATTAAAGACACACATTTTTATATAACCATATTAAAGACACATATTATATAATATTGTTTATGGAATTCGAAGCTCCCAACTCCAAATGAACCGTAGCTTTCTGAACAAGGAAACCTGCACTGCGGCACTTGACTAGCTGGCCTGTACTTTAGATAGATTCGTCAGTGGATTTGCTATCTACTGGTATTGTCAATGACATATTCAATTTGTGTATATTCCCACCGATCATGCACGAGCACAGTCACAGCAATTTTCTTGCACAGGTGGGCGGTTTGTACCTGGACTATGCCTCGCTGGGCTCCAAGAGCGCTAGGGGGATCCGCATCTCCAGAACTAGATCCTGATTTTGATGGTTTTAGGTTGGGTGTGTCCCATTACCTGTAACAGTCGACAAAAGATTATCACCATTTTTTGAGAAAGGTCTTTACTAACCACCCAGGTCTTAGGTCCCATTTCTGTATGTCACTTTTTTTTTTGATCGATGCAGATGAATGACAGCACGGTGGGGCTGAGTAATGAGGCGCCGATGTGGGATATGCGAGAAATGATCAAGATAACTTGATGTACATTCGAAGCGATCCAAGCAAATGGATGGTGTTCTCGAAAGCTGCTGCAACGATGTCCGCCAGCAATATGATTCGTTTAGGTGAAACGATCAACAGTGGTGGCACAGTGGTGGTCTCGAGATTCCACTTTGTTTAGAAACCAATGTCATTGACGCTACTATATAACTACATTTACTACATCTCATATGTATATATTATATATTATATATACATACAAATTCAAGTAATGACAGAAAGTACTGGTACACCACTTGCATAATTCTTTTTGACCCCACATTGGTGCGCCACTATTGTTCACCACGATTTCCAGACTGAGGTATGCCTACTACGACGGCATGCGCCTTCTCTGGAGCTGCATCGCTGTGTCTGGTGGCCTGTGGGGGGCATGTCGTGCCTCCGGGATTAAAGGCGCCATGTCTCACCATTTGCGTGAAAGGTCCAGTCGTGCTATTTGATGATCGATTTCAATACTGTATATTTCAATATGTATAAATATACCTTAGCTTGCATAATTCTGTTGAACCAATACTATGTTGTGAAGCTACATTATTTCTTACTAATTTGGGTAGCCATGCCCAGAGTTTCAGACGTGTTTGCTTTTTGGGTTCACGTCAGTTAGCCAAGCCTAGTAGCCATTGGCCACGGACTGTTGGAGCACATGATAGTCAGTGCTAAAACGAAGTAGCTTGTGCTCGTCTTGGAAGATAATGTCATCCAAATCGGAGGGTCCACGGTGCGGTTCATTGACGACAGAGGTCACGCACTTGACAAATCAGTCTTGGCTCCTGCCAAGTCATCTCTGGTGGTACGGTTGACAACTCAAACCCATCCCCATCCAGAAACAATACCACTGCAGACAGCTATTTGAACGTTGTAGAAGGGGTAGCCCCCCACTTTTTGCACCCCTTGGGGGTGCAAACACCGGTGGAACTCCCAACACACCTGGTGTACTTGTGTGGTCATCATCGGATCCCGATCAGAGCCCCCAGGCTCCTCTTGGGCGGCGTCTCGGACTCGGGGAATAGCAGCAGCCTGGGCTTCACGTGGTTGGCCATCGGGACCGACCCGTGGGTCGCGAGCAGCTTGCAGCTTCAGGGTGTGGGCCGACCCGCAGCTGGCACACGCTGACGGACACATCGCATGGATCACCATGGAAGCGGAGCTTGAGTTCACCCCCTGTTTTTGAGAGGAAAGTGGTCTTGCAAGGGTCCATGCCATCCAGTTCCATGTTAGTGAGTCAAGGATTATACGTGAGTTTTGGGGGGGACCAGGGAGTCGTCTTCGGCTTCGAGGCACAGCTGTGCCCTGAGACACAGGGAGTGTCTTCCCCTCCTGACCATGACGACCCTGACTTCGCAGGATCACCATTGTGTCTTGGCTCTATGGGCCCTTCGTCTTCAATCCGCGTGGAGACCTGGTTCTGCCGCTACTACGGGCAGAGATCTGCCCGGCCGCCCGGCGCTGCGCATGTTAGATCAGTTCGGCCTCGGCACCGGAGCTGTGGAGCACCGTGGCCCGAAATCCATGTGGATCCACGTCAGGTACCAATTCGACCTGGACGAAGTGAGAGGCGACATGAGGCTCGGACAAGCCTGCCAAGCGTCCGTGATTCAATATTCGAGGCCCTAAATAGCATTGGTGCTTTGTTCGAGACAACAATATTTGAAAAAGACAAATCCGGTGCATTCTGGTTCCCTGTCAGTCCGAAGTTGGAAGCTGGAATCTTTGATGCTTTTGCTATGTTTTGCCGTGCCCATGCATTTTGGTGCACCCATTTGCTTAGGGTTGGGGCGTCGCTTGTGCACCGCAGGATCCCCCAGAAAAGGCTATATAGATTTAGATGATGGCTATATCCGAGGAGATATGATGGCTAATGGCTATATAAATAGCGTCGGCATAGACGAAGCCGTCTTTTTTCTTTTTTGTTGTTCCCGTGGTCGGCCACACACTCGGTGGTCACCCCCAAACCGCCCACACACAACTCGCAACATATCAGACCTGTAAGCCATGGCAATCCTCAGATCACAGAGAAATGCGGGTAAGCTAGGCACGCTCGGAAAAGTCCCGGTTGTGCACAGATGCAAGCTATGACTTTGCAGCCATCGACCAATCATTCCATTATCCCAACCCCCACCTGCTGCTTTATATAATGTGCTTGAGAGTGTAGAAAAAGTAATGAAAATTACGGTCTCCCAGGCTCCCCGTTTTTAAGGGACGTCACAGACCGCTTAAGAGCGTGGAGAGATACACTATATAGTGTGTAGCGGACTTGTGTTGAAGGAACCTCCACGGGACCATTGAAGACCACATAGCCTACCAAGATACACACGCCCAAAGGGATCAACGCAAGCCGGCTACACAGAAGAAAGGTCAGAAGAAAAAGGAAAAGACAAGCCAAGCAGAAACATTTTGGACGACGGGGTAGCAAAAGAGAGCAAAGAAGCAACTGCAAACACACAGTAGAAAGGAAAAGCAAAAGAAGCATGCAAGCAACCAGAAAGCAGGGAGAAGCCCAAGCAGAAAAGAGAAGAAAAAGCAAAGCAACAGAAGCCACAGAGAAGAAAGAAATACACAAAAAAAGACACACAGAAGAAACAAAAAGATACGCAAAAGAAAGCAAGCCGGAAAGTGGGAAAAGCGCGCAAGCAACAGGGAATAAAAGAGAGTGTCACAAACAGCCAAATTAAGACCACAAAAGTCCACAAAAGGTGATATTGAAATTTATACAGCGCCGACGCCGTTTGAGTCAGATCAAGTATTCGGACAAAGGCGCGTCATCAGAAAGAAAGAAATAGGGCCGAGAGCATGAGAGCTCATACAGTTTCAATCTTGCAAGGCAACAGGTTATATATGATGTTCCCTAAGGCATCTTGCAATTCCATTACCGACGCTGCCATGATCCGTTGGACAAACTTTGAATACAGCGTCGTGGATGAAAATTGGCCTGCGGATGCAACGGAACAAGATAACCTTGTTGGAAGGATTGTGTGCAATGAGTGGCGCCTTACCTAGGAGCTTACGGCGTTCAAGGATGTTCAAGGTACATACGAACACTGTGAATGCCACGTGTTCCAGGATTCAGGTGGGGGGCAAAGTGCTGGCGGCGAGAAAGATCTCCGACAACATGGTTTGGCTGAGCGCGACGTTGCAGGGCCACAAGAAATCATTGAAAGCTGAAAGAACACGCAAAGTGTGCTGATTGCAGCTGTCAAAGATGATGCTCTGCAATGTGGAGCTTGTAGTTGTAGGACGGCCAACCCATGTTATCAATCTAATTGAGTTCAGCAGGCTGCGTGGACGGCCAGATTTGCAATCACTAGAAAGGCATCATAGTTCCAAAAACCTTTGCACTTTTCTTAGCATGACATCTGGCATTTGAAGCTATCTGGGCCCTTCAAGCTTTGGCGCGTTAGCGCTGTCGTGTTTCGACCCGACATGTCAGTGAGATATATGGAGGAGAGTATGGAGGAGATCCGTGGTGCGCAAGTGACCCATGGCAGTGGAACCTGACCTGTGGTACCTGATCCATTTTGGCAACCAGGCTCAGCAGTTTAGAGCTTCATCGTGCGCGTGTGATCCAAATCTGTGGTGCGTAAGTGATGCAAAATGCGGTGGTGAGCAAGTGATCCAAGTCTGTTGTACGCAAGTGACCCCCCCAACCCTGTTTTGAGAATCTTGAATTGAAGTCCTGTTCCCCATGCTGCCTCAGAATCAAGAAGCTCAAACAAAGTTATTTATATAGCTCATTTTGGTTCCAAGATTCGGAGTGTGGGAGTGTGGCTCACTGAGTCTTCCGCCAACTCGGCCAGGGCTTGGGTGGGCTTCTTCCTGGAAGATTCGGGCGCGCGCCCCGTGGGCGTTGGAAAACGTTGATGTAGAGCAAAATAGACCAAAGAACCTTGATTTGTGGTGCCTTTCATGTTGTTATTTCGACCACCGTGGAAAAACAGCCTGACACGAACATAGTACCACAAACGTTATGTGTATCATATATATGGGGTTCTGATTCATTGCACAGCCACAGCCTTTATCCACATGTCCAATGGTTGATTCATTGGGACCCTCAGCTGATGCTCATGCTTTCCGAGAGGCGGAACTTTTGAATGTTATGACACACCAGCCAAGGAAAGCATTGGGTGGACAACTATCAGAAGCAAGGGCCCTTGACTACGTGGAGCGTCGGATGTGTGGTCTATCAGTGAGAGAGCGATGTTCGAAGTCTGGCAACATGTTGACCGGTAATTGCATCTATATAGTTATTTTTGGGTACCGAGAAACAGAACAAACTGAGCAGGTACTGCAATTCCGCATCCCAACAGGGACCACGCTGCATAGGTTTGCAGGTTTGCAGCTTCTCCGGCACTTAGGACTCAGCTGAAACCATTGAAAGGTTTCAGAGAATCCGCTGGGAACCCCAGGGCCAGAGTCCATGAGAACCATCCAATTGACCTGACGGGTTCAGGATTATACAATATTATAATATACATATTGACATTGATGCTCAGCTGGCTCAGAAGTGAAGAACAAATTACCGAGGTCATCGGCGTAAACTTTTTGATCTCCATTTTCTGTTTGGCGGTCTGGCTGGGACCTCATGACTTTGCCCACACTGCGCGGGCTGGAGACACGACTTTGGAGGCAGGTAGATTTTTAATCTTCCACTGATTAAGACTTCGAGGGTTGCTTGTTCCCGAGAAAGGCAGGTTCCAACAGTTTGTATTCAATTTTTTTCCTAGCACGTTTTCCTCCAATTACATAAATCTTAGTGTTTCTTGGGGAGACCCACAAGGCAAGACAAAGGGATATCTGGACCACCAGAAAAATAACCATTCGATCAACGTTTGACACAGTCTCAATCTCTGCTTGTTTTACTAAGTTTCGTGACACTTCGTGTCTTTTGTAATTTGGCAAGGAATCCCACCATGTCTGGTGCGTTCCCATATCTGGCGCGGCCTGAAAACGAGGTTTGCGATCGTGACCCACAAGCTGCACTTGCTCAACGTGATCTACTCCGCGTGACCCGCTGGAGACTGTTTGCCGCCCAAAAGACCGAACTAAGAAAAGTCAAAACCAACAAAGACCCAACAGACTCGTGCAGAAAGGTTGCCGTGGCCGCTGGTTGTCTCGTTTTCTCCGTGCAACCAGCATCCATTGTTTTCATCTCATCCTCCCTGGCTAAGATGTGAGGCTGAGCCCCGAGGGTCGAGACGGTTTGGATTCCCCCAACACTCCGTGGCGGTCTCGAGGTACGACTCCCTGGGGACCTTGAGCGTCATGTCGCTGGTGCCTCCAATAGGACGACCCAACGACCTCGCGTCATGACGAGACGGGCGGTTGCGGTGAGAGACGGTCACGGCCTCGGGCGGCCGGAGATGGTGGTGCAGGAATTCTGGAGAATATGTAGATGAGTTGAGTGAAAGAAACGGTTTCAACAGACCGCTCTCTCTTCCCAAAGTCTTCCTTTTGTGTGAAGTGCCTACCAAATCCTACCAACACATGTATATACAGAAATGGTCTCCGACAAAGAACTGTTTTTTGTGGTGAACTGTTGAATCTGCTTTCTTTAGACAACAGAAACTGAGCAGGGTCCTCAACAGCAGTCTGGCTACCCAATCAATCCCGCTCACCAAACTTTTCTCACTCAAGCTTTCCTGATTTGCCATGTCCTTCCGAAGGAAACGGCTGGAAACGGTCGTGTCGTGTTTCAACGAACCCCAGGAGGAGCGATCCTGTATTGCCTCGTGGTAAGTGGCCTGGAGTCGATTCTCGGCTGCCCCAGGCGGGAGTTTATATATTAACATTATTACTATGTCTATTGTTATTGTTATTATTACAAATTATTGAAAAAACATATCATTGCGCGTGTTTTTTGAGTATGGTGAAGAAGTGGATCAGAAGACATTCCAAGCCAGGCTGTTCCAATCCTACTAGTACCTGTGTTAAGTCGTCTGGTCTTGTAGAAAGTCCTTTGGGGTTAGACGCAAGATGGCAATACTACTGGAAGCGTATTGTTTACATGTGGCTGGGTGACTTTCTGCAAACCCGGGTGACTAAACCCCAGCGCTTGTACCTTGTCATTGGACAACTGAATACAACACCCGGATTGGGAACACCCCACTCATATCCAAGAGGTGGACACGCGGGTTCCACACCTCGGGGGTGGAACGCAATTGTCATTGTTGGAACGTGGCCACCGAGAGTTCCGATTTGGAGGTTTTCGTAAGCCGCTCGTCCTCGAAGAGTGAGGGCCCCGTCCTCTTCTTTTTTTTTGGTGGTTTCTTGGCACATCGGACGGCACTCTTGTCAACTTGATTCCCAAAAGGAAGAGAGGAGCGCTGAGAGCAGAAGATCGGACTGGGAAATCATCTCGATTTGAGGCCCACTTGATCGCCCCCAAGGTGAAGACAAAGGGCTGACATGAAACGCCTTGTTCGACTTTTTTTTGTGGAACATCTTATTTGGGTATCAGCACGATGCAGCACACCATTGGGTTTAGCTCCGGGGGTTGACTAGGGGGATGACTTCTTGGACACAGCGTTGCCATGGTGGATTTGGCAATGAACATTATTGGCGAGGGATGACTATAGGGGATGACTTTGTCAGGTTACTGTAATGTGACAAAGTCATCCCCTAGTCACAGTAATGTGACATAGTAATGTGCCTAGATGTGACTAGTATGGACAGGGGATGACTAGAAATGTGACAACTGGGCAACAAAAACAGCATCCAACTGGGCACAGCCGCACCATTTCCACTGAGCCCCCCCACCAAGTTCTCAGATCCCGATTCTCCGGGCCCGTTCGTTCCCACGATTGGTCCAACGACCCCGTTGGGCCAAGGCCCGTTGGCCCTCGGATGTCGAACCGGCGCAGGGCTGTGAACCCGCCCAGTTCCGGGAAAAAGACCGGGTGGCCCAGGGATGAAGCGGTGACTGGTCGTGGGAAGGGCCAAATGCTAAATGGGCCTTGTCGCCACAGTTTTTGGATATGTTCATCTATGTTGAACGTGTCGCGAAAGGACCCCCTCCAAAGTCATGACCTGGTTGAATCATGTCCTCTTCCTTGCGTAGCAAGACATTTTGGCTGACGAATTTAAAGAAATGTTAGGACATCATAATTTTGTCGGAAATCCGTTGATTGTGGACCTGTCGTCAAGTAAGAATCTTTGGGCTGAAGTATACACAACTTGTGCACCGTCTACTTCCAGATGCTGCTATCCGGTGTGGCCAAGGGATGAGTCTACTTAGTCAAAATCAAGGTTATTTCTTCATCGCAGTCATTCTCAAGGAGGCAGAAGGAAGCACATTCGCAAACCGATTGTACACCTGTGAAATGTTTGGGATCGTCGCATTCGTCCTTTACCTGAGAAAGATGTCCCAGGGTGGTTTCAGAGTAGATGGCACAATCCGAGAGTAGGTGATGAAAACCACATGACCCCCAGCATAAAGGACGTCTTTGGGTTTGTGCCATCTACTCTGATGGCCCACTGTACGTACACTGCGACAGCTCGATCGTCCAGGACCCGGGCAGTGGATTTGGAGGCCGAGGCGAGGCAGTGGATTTGCACGCAACGATGGGGTAAAAAAGAGGGTGAAAGTCAGTAGACACGAATGGGATCAAATGGGCATGATTGCTTTGCGAGAAATATATAGTCAGCCCCACTGTCCGGTGTCAGTTTTCCAAGCATCAAATGGCATTGATTGTGGAAATCCGCAGCTCGACAGAATCTATCACCTGGTGCTCACGAGCTGACTTTCGTCGTCCCTTTCGTCCAGCACATTGCTGCTCCATCGCTATCATGCGATCGGTAACTGTCCTGATCACATGCAGACTGCAGACTCACTACAAATCTCTGTATACAACAACATAATATACAGATATTTCAAACAATGTATAGAACATAATGACTCGCCAGATACAGTCTGACTCACTGTACATTTTGCTTGGGATGGTCTCCCAGGATCACCTGGGAGACCATCCCGACGACGCCAGGCCTCCACCAGTGCAGAGTCCAGCGAGGAGTGTTTTCGGTGGCAAGATGGGCTGGCTGAATCATGTTCAATGAGAAAAGTCAAGAGGTTTGACACATCATTGCACTGATCTCACGTCATGAGACGAGAGATGTATGTCAGCTGAGTCCCTGCAATATCTTCTTTGAGAATTATTCCCAGCTGGGATGTTTACTCTCACGTTTTTCTTTTTTCTTAATTGACATATTTTGGCAAGAAGCTGGCACCCATTTGCAGGTGTTGTCGTACCCGGCAGTCTTGACCTTCCCGAGATCGGCTTTCTACACCGAACGATCGCCAGTCACAGAACGATCGCGGGACGTTCCCCACCTATAACTCCCCCTTGGACTCAGAAGATGGACACCAGACCAAACAGTTTTAATTTGCGAATCATAACCAACCAACCACCCAACCCAACTCAAACCAAACCAAACCAACCAACTAGCCAACTTACCATGTTTCGGATAGGTGGTCCGATTCCTTTGTGAAGGCCCATCCACATAGTGTTGGTTTGGTGGTCAACAGCCTCGTTTGGACATACCGGTGGTGACCACAGTGTTTTCTCACAGGCCCAACTGGGGGTATTTCGCGCTTCCTCAGGGTCATGATACATCACACATCGGTAAAGCAAGATTCACCCAGCCGCCACCCTGGCGAGTGGTCCCAGGAGGAAGACCCTGCGCACAGCGGGGAGCCTGGAGCCCCAGATGGGTTTGCCTGGATTCATAACCGTCGCAAAGAGCTCTTGAAGCTTGCTTTTGGATGTGCTTTGCTCGGGGGCTAGAAGTCTAGCAGAGGCATTCTTCATGATGTGTGGCGGGTGACAAGGATTGAGATGGATTGAGTAAGGTTGCAGTCGCACATTCGGGTCTTGTGAATTGGATCAATCCTGCACCGACACTGACACTTCCGAAAGCATATTTCCAAGCAGAAGATCTACATGCTCACATGGTGATGACAAGTATTGCTGAGTATTGCAACCGTTTCCAAGACTGGTACTTGTGCCTCTTGGTATATTGAGGACTTTACATTGGCACCCGAGAAGACCTTATGCTGGTCTCAGCAGAATGTTATTCAAACAGAACCCACAAAAGAGCCAACTGTTGAACAGGTCAAAGCAACATATAACATAAGGGTCTTTTTGGATTAGGCATGATGGGCTTGCCAATTGGAAAGGAATACCTTTAGATAATGCGCTTTGATTGATTCTTGACAACAGTTTTCAATTGCCTTGTACCTTGCCGCTGGCCCCGAACAGGCATTGCAAGCTGTATGTTTTTTGATCCAAATCTGCTCCAGACAGAATATCCAGTCTTGAATTGACACATACAAATCATATACTGATGTAATTATGGGGATAGGGGACCATACAATAATTGTATTTGTTCAGAAGTTCTCATCAGTTGTTCGGTGTCCTGATGGCTCGCTGAAGTCTGCCGTAAATTCCATCCGACAGGGCTGACGAAGGAGTACCTGCCCACGACAGAATGACGGACAGGGGTGAAGCGTAAACGGGTCGTGCATGGATATGGAAGCGATGTCATCGATCGACTCTTAATGGTTGGGCAGGGTAGGAAGACGAAGACGATTTGTGCGTTCAGACGTGTCAGCCAGACTTTCACCGCCCGTGTGAATGGCTGCTGAAGGGTGACTCGTATTTCAGCAGTCAAGCATGTTGAATCATCAAGCTGCTGCTAAAGGACACCTTTTCTAAAGCCTTCCACTGGCTGGAAGCTGGTGCAGTGTTTGGAATGTATCTGAATTACTTCAGGATGATAATGATGATAGATGAACACTATGCAAGTTGCTGGCTGGCGGCATGACCGCGCGAGATGCGCAGGACACCGTCATTCCTCGGCCAGCCGCCAGCAGCAGCGATGATGAGGGGGAGCGGGGTTGCAAACTCCCCGAGGTGAGGAACAGCGAGCGATTCCCGACGGGTCTGAAGCGAAACGCATGTCGTGACTCGGGGACAACGAAGACTGTGTGACCAGGTCACCCGAGACGTCTCATGAGTCTCATAATTACTTTGAAGATCTTGAAACTCTATTTTTTGCTACTTGTACAACACATCGCGATTTTTTGGTGGTACGTTGTCCCTGATTGTCCCTACCACCCCAAACCGATAGGCACATCTCACTGGTTTTGAGGATTTAGATGGATTTAGTACGATTTAGTCATTTTAATATGTTAAAGACATTCTGCCGGATCTCCCCTCGACTCTGCTGGGATCTGCGACCAAACACGGTGGGACATCCTTGCCTTGGCCTCAACCAGGCCGTGCCGCTGTCGATCTCAGCTCTCTTGATCACAGCGCCGTGAGCTGAGTGAAGCGTAGCTGCGTAGATCACGGCGACGATCGCGGACATTTTGGGTGAAGACCTGATGCAGACTCTTGATAAATAAGTCACCGATGAATGTGAAGAGTTTTTTTTCACTTGTTTCATACGTATGGTTAAGTTATATGGTCAATCAGCCAAGAGTCTAATTATGTTAAATTCTAATTACACATTTCTAGGCCACCCAAGATTTGGGGAAGAAACACCCAATGCTTTTTTCATGAAGAGACCGACCACGGTTTGATGTGTGTTGGTGATCAGCTCGGCTGAAAAGAACTTCAGCTTTGAGCAGTGTTCTTCTTTGTGTTCAGCTTGGAGCGAACGAACACATAACAGATAGCAGATAAACTGCCGAACCTGTGCATGCACCACTTGGGGAGGCGAAGATTGCTGGCTGAGGATAGAGATCATTGAGGCGTTCATCCCAATCTTTGTGCTCAGCTGAGAAGAGTGCACGATGTCGCGTTTGACCTGTAAGTCGCGTCAGAAAGCTCTCCTTCTGACACGGCACTTCTGGCACCATTGCGTTAACACCAGCTACCACAGATCCAAGCAACTCGCGTGAACGGAATAGTGTTTAACAGAATCCTTTTCAACAAGCTAGCCCTTCTGTGCAGTGTTAGCTTGACCAGCCGTCGTTTTTGGTGCCTCCTCGTCATCATGTCATGCGACCAGTGTTGTGCCGACAAAGCACAAGCTCCTCCAAAGTGGCAACCTGGAGCCCAACGAATACTTCCTGATTTTTGAATCATGACCCAACCTTTTCCATTTATATATAGTCCATGCTGCCTTGCCCGGTCCGGCAGCAACGTTCCCTCTTCGGGCACGGGCACCGCTTCTGCCGACCCAGTGGGCCTTCAACCCCATGGGCGCCCGGGGCCACGGGCTCGGGTACGTTGCCTCAGACGGACGCGGCGAGGGTCGCACGGCACGTCCACCCGCGCGTCAACCCACGACCAGAAGCCACATGAGGCGACTTGATCATGTTGTGTTTTAGGTCTGTATTTTTTTCCAGATGGGTCACAGTCACACCGGTGTAGCTATTTTGAGCAATACCTATGACTTGTCAAGATCATCCAATTGCTCTCTTGCTTTGGGCAATGATTGAACGCATTTGAAGCTGGATACACAAAGTTTATTGTGATGTATTGTGATTTGCTGCAACAAATGGGGAATATCACCTTGATAGCACCAGCCAATGGTTTTTGTCATCTAGAGTGCATGGTTTTGGTTTTGACTTGCACAGCAATAGCAAACAGATCCGAGTAAAAGCTGGCATCCGGTGCAATAACCCTGATCATTAAGAATGGTATTTGCAAGGATACACAGACACCTGAATGATACTGTAGATTGATGCTGAAACTACTTGAAGAGCACATAAAAGGATGCATTCAGGATGTTCGGTCATGTTCGGTCTTTGGCTGGACAAGATGCTGTTTGTATCCCTATAGTTCAACGCCACACAGACCACACAGATCACACAGACCGCACACCGATTCTGATCACACGGGTGGCCCACAAGTTGAAGATTCTTTGTGCTTTGTGACTACTTTACTATACATTCTAGGTTGTCCCTGGAGCAAGGGTTTGGTGTGGGAGGATTAGAGGCAATGCAAAGGCAACGCACCCCGGATGTGGCCACTACTGTTCTCACGGATCCCAAGTCCTTTGACCAGTCTTGCTAAATGGCAAGGCCTTGCTGGGTAACTTTGGATCCAGAAAGAGCAATAAGAGCCTCCGCTTGATTCTGTCAGCTTGCTCCACCGGGGTCTCCCCGCGGGTGGCCTCGCTCCGGGAGCGACGCATAGCGACGCTCCTCGGCGCCAAGATGGTGGAAGACCTTCATCGCCGGTTTGGTCCTGTCGGCTCCCGAGACCAACGGGGGGCCGAAAACATCCGGAGAGTGATGCATTCGTCGTGAACCTTGATCAAGGTGTTGACCGGAGTCAATTGGCTTACAATGCTCCGTAGAACCTACAGTAAGTGATAGTAAGTGATTATTTTTTGAACCATTCCTTCCAGAACTGGGGGACGAGCCAAGGCAGCCAGTGCATGCCATGAGCCTACTGAGATACAAGGGTCATGTTATTTTGGTTCCATTGCCTTCCGCCCAACCCCCCGGCCAATTTATACCAGACGCTCGCCATGACTATCATGGCCAATTCGTCATGCTTTTGTGTCAGGAAGTACCTCCTCTATGAGATCGTGCTGTTCCTGGCTGAGGGGGTGCAGCTCCAAGCTTTGCCACGTCACGCCGGAGCGAATCGGAGCGGAGCCGAGCGAATCGGGGCTTTGAAGTCATTTTTGCTTGGCCCAGGTCTTGCGGTCCAGATGCTTTGACCGGGTTGGAGGCACCGTATGGGCACCAGGAACTGATGCTTTTTGTTCTGCGGTAATTATTGAGTGTGTATGTTCAAAAGCAACCAGATTTTGCCCAGAAGAAATGAGAGAGATAGGTTGCCACATCCAGCCTTCCATTCGTTGCTGCAGAGGCTGGCTGCAGTTCCTGAGCTTATGGGTTCACGCCAACCGCATGTTCAGGGTTTGGACCTTAGCTGCTGTTGCAACACACATCAAGCCTGATGAGAATTTGTTGATTGAGATCGGTTCAACGCAAAGACCCAGAGCTTTTGGTAAATGCAACAGTTGTGGACACAACAATCTGCTCATGAATGAGTTGGCCCTCAGTGAAATAGGAACCTGACCGCACTGTTTTTACTTGGCAATCGCTGGAGGTTCCCATTCTTCAGCAATTCCCAGCACCAAACAGACGAGTTCCTCGAGAAGGTTAGTAGCTAGAATTTCCCGCAAACCTTCTGAACATGTCACCATATTAAAACAAATAATGGTAAGGACATTTAAGGATGGAAGCGAACTTCGGGTTGCCAATTTCCAAGATCCCATCACTAGAAGAAACAGATCATGAATGATCATGAATGATCACAGTAGATCACTACCATTTGGTTGCTTTTCAAGAAACCAGAAAACACACACACACACACACCATCAACTCCACTTAGGACATGTTTATCTCCGGCATGGAGACCCGGGCTTCCCTCGCCGGCGAGCGGTGTTCGTCTCTTATTCCATGTGGGGTTCCGGGTGCTCATGTGCCTGAAAGGGGCGAGGCGGAGTTGTTGTTGTTGTTGTTGTTGTTGTTGTTTTCGTGCCACACCATATACATATCATGCATGATTCTGATTCTTGCATACTAGTCTTGCTAGATCAGGTGGGTTTCACATCTATAGGGAGGTGAGGTTGGATGTTGGATGTTGGAAGGGGAGCTGATTGAAACTCCACTCTGGACCACCAGACACCAATTGGGTGGGTGGGCCGGCCGTGGGGTGTCTTCCACCACCACCACCACCACCACCACCTGAACTCTGAAAATTCGGAACGAAGGAGACGACGCGGCACGCGGCACGACGAAGGAGATACGTCGCTTCAGGTTTCATCTTGGTGACCCTTTTCCCTTTTGTCCTTCTTGACACCTTCAACGCCATGCTCTGTCGGGGGCCGGGCCCTCAGATGAAGGAGAAATCAAACCGCTTCCGAAATTCACAGCGGATGGCAAGCATAACTTAACCCTGTTTTCTCTCAAAACACGGTGACTACGGGTCATGTCATTGCTTTGCAACCGTTTCCAACGCCACTTTCTAGTCTAAAGGGGGCGATGTTTTCGGGGTCACAGCCGATGAAGCAGCAGATGCCTGAGGTGCAGCCTGCACAATTTGCTGATCTATCGTGATCCAGGGCACTTAGCAAAGGAGGCTGGGCCAGCAGGGTTTGACCAGCGCAGCGATGAGTCGAGCTTCCAGCGGGCTGCAGGATGTGGGAACATTGCGATAGGTCACGATCTTCAAAGATGTAGCTTGGATTAGCTTGGAAAACGGAAGGCTAAACGGAAAGCATCGGACAAAGTAGATACTGCTCAAGAGGCAGACTTGTGCCAAGCATCGATGACTTACTGGACAAACCAATTACATCCCGTCACTGCCCATCACGACATCCTGTTCTTTTTGGGCCTCGGATTTTACAGAATGAACCACCGGCTATTAGGCTTGCATAAGTAGTTAGTTCGTTTTCCTCTGAGACTCGTTTTTTTTACTGGCTAGATATAGAGTTCAATAGTTGGGACTATGATTTGAGGTAGTTAATTCTATGTCATTCGTTGCATTGTTGCGTTTGTGACAAGGCAGCTGTCATCCACTACACAGCAGAGGAGTCGGAGGATGAGGACCCGCCTCCGGATCTGTCCAAACACAGCCACACCCGGAAAGACACGAACCAAGACTTGGATGCCCAGCAGGGGCAGTGACACCCCCCCCCTCAGAATGTCCACAGCTCTGAAACACAGCTTATATACTTGATCATGACTTGACTAGACCAGGGTTGAAGCACGGCGTTTCAATCGATGGAGACGCCCTAATAAAACGGCCGATGTCCTCGTCGATGGCCGAGCGAGACTGAGTCGTCGATGTCCTCGTCCTTCTTTTCGCTCTCAGAGACTCAAGGAACGTTCTGGCGCTGGAAGGCGGTTTGGGACTCGATGCGGTCTCCGCGCGAGTTGGATCCGGGCGAGATGCGAGATCCAACGCGGTAGGTTGTCCAGGCAGGGCGTCTCTCAAAGGATGTCTTATACAATCCCAAGATCCAAGTCGTTCGGCTCGCTCCTGCCGCCACAAGGGAGCGGTACGTAGTTCATGAACGTTTCCTAGCATGACTGTCTATATTATAAGCATTTATAAGCATCCTTTGAGAGATCCCTTCTCAGTGACTCCGGATGTGGGTCAAATAGAAGCCATACTTGACATTGGGATTTTCACTGTCAACTTCAGTTTTGTTCACATCCACCAATTCCCTGACATCTTTGACCCTTTGACTCTTTGACCCACAGCCCGTGACCGCCTTTTACACGCGGCCGCGCCCCCGTGCGTCGGCGTTAGGCAACCGTTCTGGACGCCGACGCGCACGGTGCGGACTCCGACTCGGTCAGGACCGTTTCACGGCGTCGAAGCGGTGAAGCACGTGTTACATTTTGTTACTAATAGCGGCGATGCCCTTTGTTACTACCAGCTTCTTGTTCCTAAGGCCAGGAGCTACGAACGTAGCTTCTTGCTCCTAGTAGCGATGCCCTTTGTTACTAGGAGCTTCTTGGTACTAGTAGTAATGCACTTGTTTCTAGTAGATAGTAGTAATGAGAAGATGCACCTTTAGATGGTTCATGATGGTTCAGTTGAGGCAGACCTTCAAATTGATATTATAAGTTTAGTGGTCCCGATGATGCTGTTCTGAATGTTGACTCATATCATTTTTGCAGTTTGCGAGTAGCATGTGCGAGGAAAGTCAGGTGAAAGGATTCCTAGGTGGCAACAAAGAGCCTGAATTGAATGTGATTCAAGTATTTTAATCACATGTGATCGCATGTGCAAAATGCCATTTGATGGTGGTATCCAATTCTAAAACGGAAAAACACATTGCTTCGCAGTGTACCTTTGCGAGGAGGACTCTTCAGCATGGGCCAACGGACGCCTCCGCTACCACCTCCAGTCCCTCCAACGACCACATACAGATAGAGGCCGAAGATCTTGGGCTTGGTTTGTCCTTCAGTTGAGAACCTAGAAGCGATGGCCTCCAACCTAAATATAGCGAGGGTTTGTTGACTGTGAGGAACTGGTTTGTTGACTTGAAGTGGTTTACGAGGCGACGCATTTCTGTTTTGGCCGAAGCCACCCTGCCCTTCAGGAACGAGTCGGACACTTCTAAGAACGGGTCCCTTTCAAAAACAGCTCTGAGCCGAAGATGACAAAGAGTTGCAGGATTGGAAAACGAGTCGACAGCCAAAGACACGTGTTTTGATTTAAACATAATGAAGGGAGCGAGCACAAAGCGTCCAGGTTCATCCTCAGGTTTAAGCTTTGCGTTCCAGGTCAGGAATCCTGATTTGAACTACATGGATGTCCCATTAGATGTTGTATTTCAACCAGGATAAGAGAGAACCTGCCATGATTCAGTCCTTGCCGCCCAAGTTTTTTGATTGCTGCATTCATTTTGACATGGCCCAGGCCCCTCGATGTGTGAGCCTTCACTCGGGGCTGGGATATGAGAGAGGTGACATGTGCAATGCCATTGCGAATGTTTCAGATGATGCAGTATTCAAATTTGCTCAGATGGAAGTGAATGGATCTGAACCACCTTGGACACTTGTTTGACAAGCTGAAGAGTCAATGGCATTGCAGTGTTGCCCCAGCAACTGGCCAATGCTCATCTCATCTCACTCACATTTGGGCGAGAGAATATCAGTTTGTTCTAGAAACATCAGTATGCAGTACGCAGCAATCTGGCATGATGAGAGCTGGGTTGCCACTGGAAACACAGATCAGAGTAGCTACACCTACATAACCAGTGCCTTCAGAGATTTTGCTTCCTATCTTATCCTGCAACAGTGCTGCCCAACAAGCGATTCAACTAGAGTCACTAGAGTTGAAATAACTTACATGCTTTGGCAAGCTTAGCAGAGTAAAGTTATGAAACAGACCAGCTGCCACTGCGCAGGTCTTGTTGCATGCCGCTTCAAGATTTGGGTGGCGTTGCCATGTTTGAGGTTTCCCCCATCGATGATGTTATTTGATCAACAAAAGAGGTCAACTTGCCGCAAGGCCTCTTGGAAACACTGGAAACTGGAGTTGTACTGTAAAAAAGTGGATGATGATCATGCTGACGTACAGTACGTCGGTCTGTTTTGCGTTGAAACTGAGCAGATTACCCTGCGTGCTTCTTGTGCGCGGGCTGTTGGTTGCTGGTTGCTGGCTGCTTCAATCAGTGTTTTCCAGAGGGTTTCTGGACACTACCTGGTAACCTAGGCCTGTAGTACGTTGAACACGCAAAGCACCGAAAACCGCCTGTCCGAAACCGCCGTGCCAGGTGCAGGGCTTCCTGGGGCGTCACTGGCTGGGCCGCACCCTGGTGGCCGCAGTGCCATGCCCTCGCCAGGCGGGTCGAGAGGCCCAAGTCATTCATGCGAAGTTCCGCTGCCGCCTCATCATCTGAATCTATGATATTGCATTCTACCAGGGGCTGGTCCCACTCCAAAGGAAGACTGGCAAATCATGGTCAAATCATGACGACTCTCGCGTCGAATCGGTGGAAGTGGCGAACTGCTCACGACCGCGAACTGCTGCGAAACCCCCAGGAACTGCTGACGAGCCGCAAGATGATGGGCGAGATCCGCCGCGGCAGCGGTGCCGAGGACGGGGCCGCGGTATACCGCGGTGGCCGTGGATCGCGGATCTTCGTTTGGAAGGAAAGCGTCTGGAACATGAGATTGCAAATAGATTGCATGGATCTTAAAGGATCTTAAGATGCCACCCCAAAAAGATCGTATGGACTCGGGAAGCGACTTTCGGGATGTCTTTCCATCAACTTTTGATTTGAAACAACTTCAGGGATCACCATGAAGGGATGAAATTCGAAGCCTCGTGAGGTCTGAGTCTAAGTCCCAAGCCATGAGGTTGCAGTGGAAACACCATTTCGACGAGGCCAAACTCTTGACACATATCGGCCAGAGGAGGTCTTAAAAGCCACCACTCTCAACCTACTTCATCTTCAGCAAGAGGGTTATGTCTTCAAGCAGCTCTCTATGAACATCCAAAAAAGACATAAACCGTTCTTTAACGAGAAATTCACTTCTAGTCCCATGCCTCTTCAACAGGCGTGAGTGTCAACACTTGCAAGCAAACCACCCAAACAAGTGGATGTGCGTTCACCCACTAGATCAGTTGGGGGGGGGGGGCACAGGTCCGCATGCCCCCCCCAGTGTTTGAACTCCACAGCTCGATTCCGAACTGCTCCTGTCAGGCGGCGATCTCCACCGGCATCAAGGCCGGCTGGGCCGGACCATGCGCGTCGGCGACGCCGCCGGAATTCGTGGTGGGCTCACGCTGGGCTTGCCACGAACACAGGAAGCTTATGGAAGCTTCATGTTTGGAGAAGTCAGAAGTGTAGCGATTTTCATGGTAGTTTCGGCATGGTGGAACGGTATTTCGGCATACCAAGTACGAATGGTTTTGATATGGACACCGGCAGTGTTCTCTGTTTGAATATGACCGCTGGCACTTTTGAAGATACCTGCTCTTTGGATTGGACACCAGGTTTCGATACAGGGAGTACTATAGCTGTTACTTTACTAGCTACTTCTTTAGTGGCATGGCGCATGCTCAAGAGAATGGATCCAGGTTGGGGTAAGGAGCCTGGACTTGAGACCTCAGAAGATCCTTCTTGATCCACCATTATGGCCTTTTCAAGGAGGCCGCCCGGAGATCCCAGAGGCTGGGCGGTGACCAGTGACCAGGTCGTCACGCCGCACCCCAGGTCGCGGACGTGCGCGACGGCGGGGCCCCGGAGGGGAGGCCGTGCCGTTTTCGTTCGGCGGAGGGGTAGAGATGGGTTCAAAGCGAAGAGATATTGAAAAACATGATGAAAAGAGTCTACTTCTCACGGCCGACCCCCAAAACCCGTGACCCGAAGCAGCGGCGATTTTTCAGGCCGCGGGCGGCCGCGGGGAATCGTCTTGAACCCCCCACGATGCGAAGGAAAGTTGAAAAGGTGATGATGGTGAAGGATGGTGAAGGTGTGAACTGGAGCCAAATCAAAGTCTCTGATGTGTTTTTTTGATGGGTGTTAAATTGGTTTTATGATGTTTTATGGAGAAGATGAGAAATTCACAATATTTTCCTGGATGAATTGGCTATCCATTGAGTGTGAGGTCTCTGCTTTTGGCCCACTGGGAGTTCTGTTGGATGCCCTTTGCAAAGCCCTGAAAATCCGATGGTCGGTTGACTCAGGTTGACTCAGGTTGTTACGGTTCAAATATGTTCAAATGGTGAGTGCTACCAGATCTACCAGCTGGCAGATGACATCACCGTAAATCCTCCTCCTCCTCCTCCTCCTCATCATCATCATCATCATCATCATCATCATCATCCTGGTTGAATCACGTTTCACTTTGCACTTTAGGCATTCTCAGTTATTTGATCCACCCTCAGCAGCGAGGTGTACATTTCTCACTCATTCTGGTGACTTCAGACTTAGAGATTGGAGATCCGTAGATGTTCTGTTGAACAATTTATCAAGACGTGTTATGCTTAATTGCATTTAACTACTAATCTACTGTATCCTTGCCGCGCAGATCGGCACGGCCTCCAAGCTGGGTCCAGCTCGTTGAGCCACGTCTCGACACCGAGGTCTTCAGAACGGTCCTTTCAATTGGAAGGGCCTGGTGGCGCCTCGGACCGCACCTTTGGGGTCCACTCCTGACAGGAGTTGGGTGATGTATGATGCAAGTTCATGCAAGTTCAACACGTTCAACAAAACATGTCGTGGAGAAACCACATTGACGTGCAGGACGATCCAAGAATGAAGACAACGAGTGGTTTGTTCACTTTGATCACTCGTTCTTCGTCATTACCGAAGTGTCGCCTCAGGTGCAAGCGCTCCCACCGGAGATGAAGCAGGAAGCTGAGGTCCGAATGGGCCAAACCTGAGGTCATTTGTGCTGGTGTTCCAGAGCACTTTGCTCACCGATCAGACAAGGCTAGGCAGTGTAGAGGCATGGCCCTAGCCATCCCTAGCCTGAACTCTCTTGTATGCTTTAGCTTGCCCTGCCCCCAAACAATGAAGAAGTGGGTTCAGATATGTTTAGATTTTTGGTTGGAGAACTTTCGAGACAATTACGAACTACACATACTCTTGAACCTACATGAACTTGATCGACCTTTGGCGAAAGCTTTTTTTGTTCTGCAGCCCTCCTGAACTAGTTCGAATGATGGTCTTTGGCGCGCGTAGAGTCCATCGTTGTGGCTGTGGAGGTTTAATTTTAGGCCGTTGCATGCAGTTGCTACTATGCCAAACAAGCCTCATTGATTTGATGGTTGCTTCATCCGTAACCTACGAGTCGCCGGGCGACTCACTTTGACTTGAGCCACGTTGCCCAATCTCATGATGACTCGATTCCAGCAGCCAGAGTTGGGGGTTCACCGATCTAAGCAGCAGACTCGGGTCAGCGCCCCAGTCGGTGTGACTTCCTTCCAGTTCCACCAGGCTGTCGGGCAGCCTTCCCACCGAAGCACGGAGGCAGCGCCCTATGCGGAGGCCGCCAGAGCAGGTCGTTCATGAGCGGGTCATGGAGTCTCAAATCCACAGACCAATGGGGTGCGTCATCCGCAGAATGAACGCACCGGCCTCAGGCGTTCGGATTCATTTTGTTGGCAGATACATTGATAAGCAGAACTGGTAGCACTTTTTTTGGGGGTCTGAGCATGAACAACCTAGAGCACTGCACCCGAGGAGCAATTGCGCTACGGCATGCCGGCATGCTACTGTTTTTGAAGAACAGTTGCCAGACATTGACGCACAATAAGGATAAATATGGACTCCTTGGTTACCTTGGTTATCTCATGTGATCTCCTATATCCATACATGTCAATTCGTTATCAAGATTTCAGACTTCACTTCCTCTGTCTTCCGGATGGACCTTGGACGTGACCCTAAAACCCTTCCGAACAAAAAGACATCAGTTCTTCATCCACCACGGTCCGCCTTTCGCGGTCCGTCGCCGAAGAACGGTGGTTTTCAGGCTTTGGGCTGTGCCGTGGTGAAAGCGGCGGCCTCCAAGCACTGGGGCGTCGCCAAGGCGCCGACTCCGTTTGGGACGAGATGCCACGACCGGAAATCCAATGAAATCTCTCCCTCTCTCTCTCTCTCTCTCTTTGTATACACATATATATATATGACTATAACTATAATGTGTACATATTGAGTAAGGGTAAAGCAACACTGATGAGCAATTCTGGATGTTTTCCTCGTAATCCTCGAAGAAACACTTTCGCAACTGGCACTGGCATCCGTAACAGACTCTCAAGGCGTGAGGCCCGAACGCCTGGCACCACGCACAGCCTATGACCAGAAGCTTCTGCATGCATCAAGTCTGGCTGAAAAACATTGAAATAGCGGTAGTTAAATCATGCTCAATCTGGCCTAGGGCACTCCATGAAAAACCGAAGTTGTCCACGCGCTGAGAATGCTTCGAGAATCTCAGAACTCGCACCCAAACGGTGATGATTTGGCGCACATCCAAAGAAAGAGAGACAAGAAGACGCTGTCGCAAAATTATTTCCATGCACCAGCTACTTTGCATCTTTGTTAAATGCCCCTCTCAAAGAGTCTCCTGTCAAAGGTCCCACAACTAGATTCACCCAAAGAGGAAAAACGCCTTCCAAACGTGATCGCCACACGCCATGATCGCCCAACGAGTCGAGTCGAGTCGGCGTCGGTTCTCGGTGAGGCGCTCTTGCAGGAGCTCAGCTGGTCCAGCGAGCCTGCGAGGCAGAAGGCCTTGGCCAAGGCGCGAGGTGGAGAGTTCGAAGAGGTCGGGGAAGTTTGAGGGATGACTGCAATCATATTGCAATCATAAGTGCACTTGCACTTAGAGTCTTTCAGGCTCTTTGGGAGAGATTGAGAGGGTGTTGCTCATGATGTCAGGAGAGCAGCTGGGTTTTGGCAGGATTTATGGCAAGAATAGGAAGCAGAGGGGGGTCAGCAATTCTTGAAGACCACTAGACAATTATGTTTTGTGCATTTTTGATGGTGTGCCTTTTATCCTGACAAAAAACGTGAACCGCCGAGGGAAACACCAAGTCATGATCCTGCTTTCTTCGCCTTGTGATTGGCCATGCGTCTCCTGCGACACCGTGCTGTGCGTGTCTTCCCCCGGTGGGATCCATGCGGAAGACTGTGCTGTCGGCTCGGCTCCAGCGCGCGGAGGCGGATGCCACGCGGAAGACCGCGCTGCGGATGTGCGTGGATGGCCTGGCGAGGGACTCCAAGCAGCTCTTGCAGGCCTGGTTCAGCTGAACCGCAGGCGGTTCCGCATGCGGTTCCAGCGGAGGATTTGACCGGTGGACCTTGAAAGAGCTGGATGTCCCACAGGAGGGATTGGAAAGGTTGATAGTTTTCTTTCCAGGACTATGGATGGAAGGGTTGACACTCGGTGTTGCTCAAAAAGCCAGTGGAAGCCCATTCCCTCAGCTTTTGGCTTGAATAGGGGAAGCTTTAGCACAGTGCTCAAGCCCATGGCGCAAGTGTGGAAGCGATGCATCCACACAGTGAAGAGTGGAAGAACCACAGGGGAGAAGAAGTGAGCCTTGTCATTGTCTTATGCATCTATTTTTTTAATTTGGATATTTGGTTTGCACCCCAGTCTTCCTGGAGATGTTTGATTTGAAGGGGTAGCAGCAGATAGCAGCATTTAACCAGGCTGTTTCTATGTGCTTCATCTCCTGAAAAGCAAGTAAGGGGTCTTCATATCTCCAGAAGGCGAGAAGATTTGGACATTCAAGAAGGCCCTACATAAAGGTATGCCTCTTCAACTGCATGTGAAGAGCAAGGCCTCTTCGTCTGAGGCCATGGAAGAGGTCGCAGGACCGACGCGCTTTGCTGTAGCGAAGGAACCAAAAGTAAATACACGTTTGATCAGGTGAGAAGCGTGAGTGATATGATTATGACATATTATGACTCTTCAATGTCGCAGTGGCGACAGGTACAGAAGAAAGATCACAGGCGGTAAGTATCGCAGGCGGCACAGGTGGGGTCAGTCACTTCGACACCTTGACACGTGTTGCGAAGTGCGCCTCGTCGCGAGGAGAGTGCAAAAGAACATGGAAGCGATGCATCCACACAGTGAAGAGCGGAAGAACCAAAGGAAAGAAGAGGTGAGCCTTGTCATTGTCTTATGCATCTATTTCTTTTGATTTGGATATTTGGTTTGCAGGCTAGTCTTCTTGGAGATATTTGATTTGACGGGGTAGCACTTAACTAAGCTGTTGCTATGTGCTTCAATGTGCTTCATCTCCTGAAAAGCAAGTAAGGGGTCTTCATATCGCCTGAGGGGCGCAAAATGCCCCTATGGGACGCGCGCTACCGGAGATCGTTTCCGGCAGAGCTTTTCCCAATGTGCAATGCTTCGGATCCAGAGGCGACGGAAATTTCCATGGATGATGCCCGCCTTGTTCAGTCTGCGTTCTGGTGAGACACACGTCAATGTTACAACCTTGTGTTTGAAGTTTGAATGGGTGTAGGTCTAGGTATGAATCTCCAATTGTAAGTCTGAGGTGCAGGATGCAGATGTGACAGCATGGTGATTTGATTGTGATTCCATGCATCGACGATGCGGCACGACTGGCTGGGAAGATGCCATCTATTGCATCGTCTTGGCGGAAGGTGCCAACCAAGGAGCCTTCATGGAGTGTGGAAATTGCTATTGTGGTGTGGCCCTAAGCTGAAGCAGTTCGGTATTTGGCAAGGTGCGAGTCAGGAAGAAATCAAAGGAAGAGAGTCAGCCATGTATGTGTTCAACTTTGTCAGAGGATGTCCGATGCACTTGTCAAAAATTTGCTCTCCTGAGGCCATGGAAGGGGAGAGCATTTCGCAATGCCCTGGGGAAAAGGTGTGCGCAATATGTGAAGCATGTTTTGGCTACCCTTGCAGCCCTGAGAGAGGTTGCTCCATGTGTTCGGACAACGGACAGTTTTTCAAGCCCAGATCCAACCAGGTCACCCCAACGGGATGGGATGGGTTACTCCATATACTGGGAATCTGCATTCGCATCAGTTTCTTCATGCACATCAACCAACCACCATACCAATCACTGGTGCTTTGCTGCGGCCATGGCGATATGCGACTTCGAGGTGTCCGAAAACAACAGCAGCAGCAACAACAACAGGATGATCAATAATTTGGCGGATCTTCAAAGGCATAGCTCCGTGAGTCCAGTTACACTCCCGTAAATAATCATCGAAGTGGAAAGTTCGTTGTCAACCACTTACTTTTTTGGGGATACGATTCCTGTGTGGACGAGCAGGTGTGCTTGTGGGGGAGATCGATTCGGTTCTCGTGCTCGATTCGGTCCAACCTGGTCAACAGCCTCATGCCCAAACACTCCCTGTACGGCATATGGCAAATTTACCTACTTTGGCGTGGTTTTCATTGGTGAATTTACATTTGATTATATTCCACATGGAGTGTTTGGGACTGGGTTTTGGAACTTCACCAGTGCCCCGACTTTGGGTCACAGGTGGCCAACTAAACTTTTCATGCTATCAAGTTGCAGACAAATACATATTATATAATATTATGATAATGTTATATATATATATATTATATATATAAATATCTATTGGTCGTTGCTGATTACAGGGACCCCTGCAGGTACAATTACATGGTCTGCATGATTCTACCTGCAATCATCGTGTGTAGAATCCTAAAGCCCCCCCAACATGATTTGGCAGCTATGCCCCAGAATCCAAAAATGAACAAAAACATGTTCTCTTTTTGTTCGCTTGGTTGGGGACCCATATTGGTGTCACATGGGCGCAAAGCGCTCATGAAATGCACCTGGATCCTGATGTGGAGACCGAGGGGCTCCTGTCTGCGCCGGGCGCGCGCACCGCGACTGTCCAGTCGCGTGGCTCATCAGTGCCATGCCTGCGGCTGGCACCAGCCCTCGTCGGCTTCGTATGTGTAGGTCAGGGACGGTCGGGGTGTCTCTGTCAGAATTCCTGCGGGACATAAGATCATCTCAAGTTGTGGCAACCAATGGGAATTGTCCAAAAACTGTGTCAGGAACAAATCCGGTACAGCAGACCTTGGAAAAGAATTCAGTCTCCAATGGGGGAGGCTCCGCTCCACGAGTCCATTCCTCATCGTTCCAACCCACCGTCCAGGCGTGCTGGCGAGCGCATGGCGACACGCTGCTCGCAGCGGCGCCCAGCGAACGCTTTTGGGTGAAGTGAGGCTTGGTGAGGTCGTGGGGGATCCTCCGAGGTCGGAATTGGCATTCAAATCCCTTAAGTGATCTGAACATGTCGGAACGGGACAGGGAAGTTCGGTTCACCCCTCCTCCTTTAGCCCCGTCCGCTGGTCGTGAGTCGCTCCTCTTCTCGACCCATGATAAGGACTTCGACCCGCTGGTGTAACCACAGTGCGCCGGTGCTTTCATCGGCTTCTCGGAGCTTTCACTTGAGCGACGCCTGGCAAACGCGCTGCGCCGTCTCTCCAGAGGCGAACGACGCCGAACGCGGTCCGCGCGGGGCGGACGTCGATGTCCCGGACGGTTTGGGCTGGGACCCAAAGCAGGCTTGTCTCAAGCAGCGAGAAGAGTCTCCGGGTGCAACAGGTGGTGAGACAGGCCATTGTAGGCCTGTGTCTTGGAGCTTCCTTGTGTGATGCACGGAACAAACCGAAACGGAAACGGGCAAAGCACTGGCGTGGACCAAGAAGCAGGTCTGGGCACTTCAATAGTCTGTTCTTTTTCCGAAATCTCTCTTGAGGAGAAGGGATAAAGTGTCACGTTCTCAATCATTCTCGCTACTCACTTCACTCCCGCTTTCCAGTGCCGGGTGCTCGGCTCTAGCAACTCCAGGTGAAGACCGAGACGTCTGCCTCGAGTCTTCGGGAGTTGGAGACCGGACCGGCGTCCGGAGCTAAGCAGCCCGACTGGTGTTGGGAGTTCATGAAGCACGAGGGATGCTATGCCAGTCACGGCTTTAGTACCTGGTTGCAGAACCAGCAGAAGGTCTTTGACCTTGGTTGGGCACCGGACCCCAGCGAGGAGAGGATGCTCGGTGTGGAGCTGAATGAAAGAGGTTGGGATGAGGTTGGGCCTTGACATTATATTTTGAACGAACGCCCGAAAGACTCAAGACAGCAAAGTGGCTGGTGGATGGGCCCTGTGCTTTTTGGCCCTTATAGAAGTGTTGGTGTGTGGAGCAAAGGGGGGTCCAACGACACCAGCAGCTGGGTCACGTTTGATTTATATTCACCCTTAGACAGCGGATTAGGAGTCCACCCACAATCATAATCTGAGAATAGGGATCAGTATGTCTGTGTGTGTGTGGGATCAGAATATCTATAACGTAAGCTTCACCAGTTGCCCAAACCTTTGCAGCCAGCTTCATTAATGTAGACTCTTGGTTGATAAGACCCCTTGAAGAGGTTTTACAATCTGGCATCCCTACCTATACCCGTCACACCCGTTGGCAAGGGATGAGAGTGGGTGGCGAGAGCCGCAAGTCCGTGCATCCAATTGGGGGGTTTTGTAGATTCAGAGTCTACAGCACTGTTGTTCGACGCTAAGGATGGATGCCCTACAGCAGCCCTTCCTTTGTGAAGTGGCAGCCCATGGACGCTTCTCTACCTTGGACCGTGCGCCGAGGGCGGTGAGCGCGGAACTGCCAGGTGCAATGTCGATCTATGTGGTAAGCCTGGCCGAGAGCGGAAGGTTGGAGATGACCCGCGGCTCAGCTGATAGGCCAGAGGTGAAGATAGCTGAAGGATGATGAAGGTGAGACTGGTATAGACTGGTGAGATTGGTTTGTTGGAGCTGATTGAGCATTGGGATTTTTGAGGTTGGGTCTTGAGTCTTCTCTTTGAGCCTTGGTACTTCAACCAACAGTTATTCTGACCCCCATTCATCACAGCAAACAGCCGGCCATTGCTTTGGCGTGACTGGTGGCTTTTCTGTCCACCTTCAAGATGAGGTAGATTGGGAAGCGCCTTACTTAGAAGTACCTGAAAACCGCCGCTGTACTATAATGACCATCGGTTCTTCCTCATTTCTTCCTTCCGGCCATCGCTTCCACTCCCGCTTTCGCTTCCGCTTCGTCGCTTCGCCACCACTTTCGGACCGACCGAGGAGCTCGTTTGGAGGCGCTGCGGATCCGCTTCCGCCGCGTCGACGGCGTGGACCTCACGCGGCCGGGCGCCTTTGCCGCCGCCAAGGCCGAGGACCTGGTGACGTGGCGAGATCGAGCGAAAACGACCGAGAGAGACCGGTGAGACGG